GTATATATAGTGGTGCAAATCCCTTCTTTTTTTCAATGGGGGACAAAAGTTACTTTTAAGTTTTTCCAACTTCATTTTTCAACTCAAATGTGTCTACATTGAAAACCAATTTCTCATTCACCCATTATTCGTTTGAGCGTACAATATATCAATATATTCGTCTCACTATGAAGAATCTAAATCCATGTTGACCCTACCCAAATCAGAAGCAGATCCCACTTATATTTGTACCACAAAATAGCCACTTACAATGCTATTTTATGCTATTTTTTCTAACAGGTGTTTCGATGGAGACATCAATCAAAGAGGGTGTTCCAATGGAGACATTATTGGAACCACCGGCTGGGGATACAGATATGGATGGTTGCTCCTACATCAATTGTGGTGTTCCGGTAGAGACTTCGCCGGAACTGGGTTCGTTTATGGATTTTAATGAATTAATATGGGATATAAGGAGACTAGGATGTAACTATATTGATTAGATTTTGATGCGTGAGACAGTCAAGGAAAAATTTTATTCCTTTCCTTTTTTCTTACTCTTCCATATATCTCATTTCACATGTAGTATTTTATTCACAAGTCAAATTAACTCTTTCGTTTTTGTTTATTTTCTTTAGTTTTTTAAATATTATTTTTAAATTTAATTTTTTGTATTTAATAATACTTTTCCTGTAATTTTTAAATATATATAAATTTTACGGAGTATATACCAATACTAAACTTAATATTATGAAAGTTGAATTAAAAATAACTATAATCAATCCTTGTTAAGACACATACAATGAGATTGAGGGAGTATAAAGTAGTAGATCTCTACATGATATAATTTTTGGGGGGTTAGATGAAAATGAAGAAGAGGGAGGGACGGTCCACCAGAAGTAGGACATTGAAGATGTCCGTTTGGAAAGTATGAAAATGACTTCTGAAAAATGTATTCTGGAAAACGAGTCATTTTCAAGAAAATATTTTCCTTTCCAGTGTTTGGTTGCATTCTAGAAAACTGTCTTGGTGTGTTTGGTTTATTTTCTGGAAAATAAGTATAATTGTATAATTAAACATTTTAATTATTTTATTTAGAATATAACATGTATAATAATAATAATAATAATAATAATAATAATAATAATAATAATAATAATAATAATAATAATTTTGAATATAATAAAAAGTAACTAATAAGATATCAAAATAAGTAACCAAAGTCTTGTAATTCAAAATAACGATAACGATAACAACAACAACAACAACAACAACAACAACAACAACAACAACAACAATAATAATAATAATAATAATAATAATAATAATAATAATAATAATAATAATAATAATAATAATAATAAATGGTATCGTATTGGTGGTGGTGTTGGTGATGGTAGTGGATGGTGGTGATTTAGTGGTAGTGGTGTTATAGTATTTGTTATATAATAATAATAATAATCTTACTCTATCTAATAGCAAAATGTTGTTTGCCAATCAATTTCCCGCCTAAATGAAACTGCATCATTTTAAGGTATTAAACACCAATTAAATGAAATTGCATCATTTTAAGGTATATAATGCAGCATACTTATCTATTTTCAATACATGTTAATCTACAATTATTGTTATTTAATGATGAAGCAGGTAATACATTCCAGTATTTTTAAGTTAACATTTTATTATATAAATTAATTTATTGTTTACTGAAAAAAAATTAGAGTATCCGATTTTAAAAAATAAGATTAACCTGTTTTTTTATTCTTACAATTTTGTTGATCGACAACAATTTAATTGTTCATTCTAATATAGTTTTGAGAGGGAAATTTTTTTAAAAAAAAAAAAGTTACTAAATCAATTACTAAATTGAAAAAAAAAAAAGTTTTTTAAAATTTAAATCAGTTGCATGAACAATAATATTGGAGAGACGAATAAGTTTTAACAAATAAATATTGAACTGATATTAAGTATTTAGAAAATATGATGTATTTCTTAATTTTGTTTTAAACAATAAGTTTTACCTGAAGATGATATTGTATTTATTAGTTTGTTTTAGAACTGCTCCGGTCACCCAATTTTTTAGATCGGCATTTGGGAAAGAAAGCTACGGTCAGATTATCTGAAAAGTTTTTTAGCAGTGGATTACTTGGACGTGCGATGATTTAAAATCGAGTGTGTCAAGACGCCGGAAACAGAGAAGGTTCGCGTAAGTCAGTGAACATTTTAGAGAGAATGATGAACGCAACAGAGTAGACGGAAGCGCAATCGTAAAAAAATATGGATTAGGGTTTGGTAATCAGGTTTTATAATTGGGATAATGGGCTTGGGTATTGGGCTGAAATGCAACGTAACTGGATTATATGGATAGATAATTAAATGTTTATTGGGCTTAGCATTGCAGGTTTTATTTTTTCTTTCATGTCATGAAATATTTCATATTTAGTTTAGATTTATATATGTTGTACGTATATAATTATTATTATTAAGCAATGTTTAAGAAAAGATTTTCGTAGTTAGTTTCAATGTATGATGATGATACTGTATTTTTTATTTATATATTGTCAAGTATATGTACTATAGGCTTTAATTGCAAATCATATTAATAAATGTTTTTATATATAAGAAAATTTAATTTCATAATTTTTTATTGTATATTGTTTGATTTCCTAATTTTTAAAATTTTTTTTTATAAAAATATGTGTGTGTGTGTATATATATATATATAATTATTTTAATGTACACTTTTTAAATCTCATGTGGTATGTTATAACACAATTTCTTTATAATAGATGCTAACAATATGTGATGTTCGATATAACAACCAATTTTTTTTGAATGCTACTAGCTCTATTACATTGTAGTATCTGTTCATATACTTTCTCAACCTACTGAAACACAAAGAGCTAATAACACCTCCACTGAGGCTCGAACTTACAACCTTCCAAATGGAAGTCCAACCCGGATACCATTAGACCACATAGTCCTGGTATATAACAACCAATTTAGTATTGTTAAAGAAGAATACATTTCAGAATAAGTTTTAATTTCATGATTAATATTTTATTTTATTATTTTTAAAATATTATCAATAATAAAGTTACTTAAATTTTATGCCGTGCATCGCACGGGGCAAAAACTAGTAATAATAATAATAATAATAATAATAATAATAATAATAATAATAATAATAATAATAAGTGGTATAGTAGTGGTGGCAGCGTGGTGGTGGTGTAGTGGTAGTGGTAGTGGTGTTATTTGTTATATGATAATAATAATAATAATAATAATAATAATAATAATAATAATAATAATAATAATAATAATAACTTGTGGTGGTATGGCGGTGGTGTTAGTGGTGGTGTGGTGGCAGGGGAGGCGGCGATGGTGGTGGTGGTATGGTGGTGATGGTGTTGGTGTAAAAGTTAGAAAATGACTTCCCAAAATAAAAGAGGGGAAGTCATTTTCCTCCCGAACAAATATATTTTTCAAAGTCAACCAAAAATTATTTCCGTTGACTTGATTTTCTAGGCACATCCAAATACTTGCCAAACACACCTTAAAGGACCCTAATGTAGAGGAGTTGCAAAAGAATAGAGGAAAGAGAAATGTTTTTTTTTCCTTGGGTTTTGTGTTTTTTTGACATAATATCCAAAGAAAAAGTAGGACCTTTGAATGGATCGTTTTGTTATTGGTTTATAGACATTACTATAAGAATTGACTTTATATTTTATATTACGTGATAAAGTTTATCGTGATTGACCAAATTTATGTTTATATTTAAAAACATAATAAGTCTCAATCAAAGTTATATCCCTCATTTATGTCCGTGTTTTTAATGCTAACCATTTTGTAAATTGTGTTTTTTAGAATTGTACTATACAAATTTTTGGACAAAAATACCCCTACCGTTATAACTTCAGTTATATTTTTCATTACTTTTACCATGCACATGCATCCACCATATATTTTCTTATATTCTTTATGATAACAATATTTGTAAGACATTATATATTTATTATATATTGAATTAGTTAAAATTTGTTAGTTATTTTTAAAAATATAAATATTGGACATACATATGTTTTTGTGCATCGCACGTAGAAAAGTCTAGTATACTTGATAAATATCATGATCGTGACAAAAAAAAAAAAATTGAATAGTAGACACATTTTTAAGATTGTTCCATAGTACAATTAGTATGGTGGCATCACAACCACCACACCAACACCAACACCATCACAACCACCACCACACCACTACCACCACACCACCATCCACTACCACCGCCACCACAACCACAAACACTATCACAACCACCACCACCACCACCATAACACCAAGACCACACCACCACTTCTTGTTGTTGTTGCAATCAAATGAGAACAAGATCTCCTGGTAAAAAGTGATAACTGATCTCAACCGTCCATCAACGGTTGAGGGTTTTAAGAAAAAAAATTATAATTATTGCAAACTTGAAAGTTTAATAATTACAAAATTCTGGCTATTTAATTTCTCAAGACGAAGAGTATGGATGTGTCCACACTTTTTACAAGAAGAGGTGTTCTCACCTGAACTCTCCACCCCCTCCCCCTCCCCGTCCATACACAAAAGTCCAACGCCTTTTACAACATTGGCATAAATAGAACTATACATAACTTGACATTTAAATTAATCAAAGAGACTACATTTATAATTCATTTAACAATTAACAAAAAAAAAAAAAGAGAATAATCATATTTATAACTCGTCAACCTGACCAAAAGTGAAATTTTTCATTTATAATAATAATAATAATAATAATAATAATAATAATAATAATAATAATGATAAAAATAAAAAAGTGAAACCATTATTTTGTTTAGAAAAAATATATTAAACCCTTTCTATTTATAGTAATCAAAATTCTTACTATTCAATATTAGTCAAACTCAAATAGATATTCTCAAAGTGCACTACAAATTTGAGTAGAATAAAGAACTAATCAGCTAAGCTTAGTAAACTTGGTAATGTTTTGTTATTAATGGTTGAAATGTTAATTGGTATGTGATAAATGATTCTCAAAGTTTCAATACAAACTAAAACATAGAAGTTCATGAGAAGCAAAAAACTTCATTTGCTGCTTCTCTGCAGTGCAGAGGTATCACAAATAGGACAACAGGGATTGTCAAAAACAAGAGAGAATCTCAGTGTATACTATCAGACTGTTTTTGTAAGTGCAGGCAGTGACTTGAGAAGTGATGGAGATGGGCGCCTCACGGTGTGGTTGAGCAGAATCATCAGTGTTAAAAGCGTTAGAGCCCCGGCCTGATGAGCAGTTCCTAGTGAAACGGGCACATACGAAAGAAGCGTTGAAATGCCCAAGGTAACCTGGAAAATAAATTATTAGAGTCAGATTACAGCTCGGGTATCGATTAAGAGAAAAAAAAAAAAAAAAAAAAAAAAAAAAAAAAAAAAAAACAAGAAGGGAATCTGTTGAAAAATAAAGAGTTAAGTTTATCTATAGGGTTGTGTCTATTTATGAATAGATGTTAGTTATGAGTAGTTACTTACAGTTATGTGTTTGAATATATATATATATATATATATATATATATGTACTATGTTTCTTTGTTAGAAACAAAGATAATACTAATATATTTCAGTCTTATATACATTTTTTATTCCTTGATTCTTCATCATTGCTTCTGCCTAACTGGCGGGTAGTGTTATTCTCCACCCGCCAGGCCATTCCATCTTCCAAATTCAACAGAATCAACTCCGGGTACTTGGTTGGGCAAAGGTATTCTTGAGCTTGTAATTTACCTGTAGAGCAGCCATACCCATAGTGCTTCCAATCAAAGACCGTATTGCAGGGTGAAGATCTAGTTTCCTTGTAGCCCACCATAAGCCACTAATGGAAGCTAATGTTGCAGTGGCAAGTATTCGATGATCAAGCTGCAGACCACAATCCCATACAATGGAATTCAACATCAGGAGCATATGTTAAACAACTTAGTATATATATATATATACAATAAAAATAAAAGCATACCGTCAATTCAATCCACAAAACAAATATTTCAGTTATCAATTCAATATATATGGAGTATCTAACTTGATTAATGTTTTTCTGGGTTTCTGAAGATGTTACAAGGACCGCCAGAATAAGTTTCTCTACAAAAGTTCTGAATAAATGAACTTTCTTGGAGCATTTATTGCATACTTTATCTAGTTTATTCCAATTTCAAGATTTTTTTAAAAATCTGAAGTTCTGAACTTCTGCAAGAATTCAATTTGGTCCATGGAGTTCAAAATTTAGAATGCTAACAGGTTGCAAAAATGTTTGCAGGAAATTGAGCACGAGAAATTTAGCCCTTTCATGCTGAATGGTTTAGGTCCATATAACTAGGACAACATTGGGAATAAGGTTTAGGAAAATTATAAAATGATGTGCGATATCATAAAATAATTACCTGGACTGTTGCTGTATTTTCAAAAAAGTTGCGAATGAGTGGCTTCATACTGAAAACATCATCTGGAATCCAATTGTCTCCCATTTTTGGAAAAGTATTAAATGCATGGCCCTGAAAAATTCCCAGCCAAAAAATCAAAGTTTCCCTCAAGCGCACTTTAGCTTAAAGAAAAGAAAAAGGAAAAGAATGAAATAAAAAAGGGTTAATTCTATCTGGGGTCCTCCAACTATAGTGATTTTGCCACGTTTAGTCATAAACTTTCAAGTTAACCATCAGTGGTCCTTAAACTTTCAAGTCAACCACCTGTGGTCCTTCAACTTTCAAATGTTAACCAGTTGTGGTCCTTCTGAATGATGACTTTGCCCAGCTAAAACTAACGGAAGGACCACGGGTGGTTAACTTGAAAGTTTAGGACTAAACATGGCAAAACCACTTTACTCGGAGGACCTCAAATGACATTAACTCAATAAAAAATTATTTGCCTCAGAGGAAAATAGCACATCACTTTCTTTTTCTTTTGGATATTCATTTAATGTTTTAAGAACGTGTAAGGTAATCCAAAGAAATGAAGAAGTATCATTTACATACAGCATCATTTCCAGCAACAAATGCTCCTGATATAGCTGTAATTCCAACAAGGATGCCAACAGGAATTGCAAGTCGCTTTACTTTTGCTGCCCCGTGAACCCAAGCAAGAGATTCGGCGGGAGGTTCAGGCATAACAACAGAGAGACCAGTCCAAAAGAGGCCGCAATAAATGGCAAAGGCAGAAGTAAGATGAGCTGCAAGGCGGTAAGGGCTCACTCTTGGTATAGCATACTCAGATGGTGGCTCCTGTAAACAAAATATTCTACAAAATTTAAGAAGATAACGTCTGATTTCATCCATATCAATTGTAAACAGTAAATAGTAAATAGAGTATATTGCACTTTTGGTCCCTCAATTAGTAGTGCATTTGCCCTGTTATCCCTATCTTCTAATTTGGACAATTTGGTCCCTCAATTAGAAGATAGGGATAACATTGCAAATGCACTACTAATTGAGGGACCAAAAGTGCGATTTACTCTAGTAAATAAAATGTTTTGTACCTCCAAACCACTTTTAACCATCCACCAACCTATAAGTCCTTGTCCAGCACCAAGGGCAAATAGGCCAGACAGTCGAAGCCCTAATCGAACAGTAATATATCCCTTGCGAAGGAAGTATGAGAAAGGAAGTGCAAACATTATACCTAACGCCCTTCCCCACATTCGATGTGCATATTCCATCCAATATATGAACTTGAAATCTTCAATTGTCATCCCCCTGTTCACACTGTGTGGGAGTCAAAAATTGACATTAAAATCTCAGTCAATTCAACTAGTGTTTCCAAATTAAGACAATAGCAATTTTAATTTAAGTGATTGTGACAGTGGCCATCCAGAAGATAATGCTGGTAGCAACAATAAAAGTAAAAATAAGAATACAAAGAAGCCATATTACACAGTGAATGGGGTTCAAAGCAACACCAATTCAGGCTTAGCTACTGCACTCATACTCATTTTTTACGAGTTAATACCCAATTTAGTCCTCAACTATGGTGGTTTTTCTTGATTTAGTCCTAAATCACTTTTTGTGCTTAATTAGGTCTTGGACTTCGATGGTTTTACCTAATTGAGTCCTCTGTTAGGATAGCTTGGTAATTTCTCCTCTATTAATACTTAATTTAGTCCTCGACTATAGTGGTTTTACCTAATTTAGACATTTAGTCCTCGACTATAGTGGTTTTTCCTCGATTTAGTCCTTGATTCTAACAGCCAACAAAGGCAGAGGATTCAATTAGGTAAAACCATCGAAGTCCAGACCCAATTAAGCACAAAAAGTCATTTAGGACTAAATCGAGACAAACCATTATAGTCGAGGACTAAATTGGTTATCAATTTGTCAGGATAGGCTTATAAAATGAACTTATGGCTTTAGATAAGCTGCTTTGAGCTTATATCTATAAGCTATTTCAAGAAGCTTATCAAGCTAAAGCATAAAACAGCTTTCAGAAGTCTGTTGGCAGTTGTCAAACAAAGCATTTCCAGAAAGCCTAACATATGCTAAGACTAAGGGGCCGTTTGGTTCAGGTTATATAACATAACCAAGGGAATGTGACATTCCAAAGCTCACATACCTATGTTTGGTTCACATTATCTCAGGGAATCTAACATTCCCCAGGAATGTCACATTCCCCAGGAATGTCACATTCCCTCCACATAGGATTTTGAAGGGAATGTGATTCCCTTCAATTTCTAAGGTTATGTAGGATAACCTTGGTTATGTTAGTTTATTACACACACACACACACACACACACACACACACACACATATATATATATATATATATATATATATATATATATATATATATATATATATATATATAATTATTTTTGTAATTATATGTTTTTTATTTTTATTATGTTAGGTTAGCATATAAAATAATTTTGTTTCTCAAGTTCAATATTTTAGTTAATATTTTAAAATCATGTAATTATATATGATACCGTTATCTTATTTATTTATTTTAATTTTTAAATTTATTAAAATATATGAAAATATGTTAAGGATATTATAGTGTGTGAATAAAAGATAACCCTAAACCAAAAATGACTATATTACATACCCCAATTTTAACCAAACACAGAAATCTAACATTCCCAGTAATCTAACATTCCCAGCAATCTAACATTCCCTAAGGTAATCTGACATTCCGTGAACCAAACGACCCCTAAGAGCATAGAGGTCTAGATAGGAAAATAGCAAGGTTCTACAATAGTGTGATTTACATATAGGTATTTGAACTAACCGATTGTACTCGGGAGATTGCTTATATTTCTCGAATTCAACCATCCATTCTTCATCAGATAGAGGAGGCAAGCCCCCGGTAAACTTCCAGTCAGTCATTGAGAGGCCAGAACGAGTGAGGCGTGTGACACCCCCAAGCACCACCATACTAAATACCCAAGCAGCTGAAGTAAAAAGCCATATCCCAATCATTTTCTGAGCACGTGGCCCAGCAGTTACAAGGGACTTCAATCCCTCCTTAGTTTCAGCAACAGTAGATGGTGCAGTGGAATAATGCCTAAATGGTGACCTGTAGCCCTGAACCAAAAAACACAGACACAAAACCCTGCATCATTGCAATCATAAGTCATAACCATAACATTTATCTCTTAGGATTCTTGATTCCAACAAAAAACTGGATGATGAGACGTTATAGAGATTTTCTTAAAACCACTTGTAATCATGCACTCCAAGTCAACAAGCACTCTCATAAATCATAATCATAAGCTTAAACTACAACAGAGAATTGCACAAAAGTGAGAAATTGAACCAGCAATGCACTAACCAAAAACCAAGAAAGCTACAATTTGGCACATTTTCCATAGCCCCCGAGTACTACTGAGAAATCAAAAGATGAATAAAAGATTTTTTATTTAAAAAAAAAAAAAAAAAAAAAAAAAAAAAAAAAAAAAAACCTTGTGATTGAGCTGATGAAAGGATCTGAACCCATAATTGAGAAAGCTTCGGGTAATTGAGCGCCTGCTTAAAGGAGCAAGCTTTGCTAAAGAAGATAAAAGCCTGTACTGTTCGGAGGTTTGGGTCGAAATACCAGAGGTTGGATTCAACCAACCGCTCAGATTCGATGAAATCTTGGAGCCCAAGGCTTTATTTTGCCTCAGAATAAATAGCAAACTCCTCTCTCTCATTGCTTATCCCTCGTCTTCCCTGCTGGAATGCCGTTTAAGCCTCTGATATCTGGGGTTTTAAGCTTAAGGCTGCTTGCTGGAGCGAGCAAGCTCAAGTCAAAATCCTCAGGGTTTAAGGGTAAACCGCCGGTTCATTACAACCAAGAATCAAGATACACAGCCTCATGCTTATTTACACTTTTAGTCCATTAAGGGCCTGTTTGGCAACTAACAAATTGTGTTAGTCAATAGCAATTAACAAATTGTGTTAGTCAATATCATATGGCTAAGATAACGGATTGTGTTAATGAGTTTGACCAACAAATTGTATTAGCGATTTATAAAAAGATGTTTGAAAAAATTAATTGTTTAGATTAGCGATTAATATGTAAAATGACCTAAAAGTACATTCATAATAATAATAATAATATTATTATTATTATGTAATAATAATAATAATAATACAAAATAAAACTATATATAAAATAAAATTTAAATTTAAATTTAAAAAAAAAAAAAAAAAAAAAAAAAAAAGACAAAGGCGAGCCACGGGCTCCCTTTTATAACTGATGTGAGATCATTTCCATCCCATATTGAAAATGTTTGGAATTGAGCTCCTCTATATAAGAGGATCAATGCTTTTCTTCTAAACATATTGGGGCAGAGCTACAGTGGGGATAGATGCCCCCTCCCCTCACCGCATATATAACAAGAGAAGAGATGAGTTAGACTAGTTAGTTGAGCATGCATATGATCTCAAGTAGAGTCAAGAGGGTTCAATTGCTTCAACATAGTGTGTTATTATTTTTTTTTATATTAATAATGAAATGTGTAATTTATAATGTGTTTTGTATTCGAATTATTTTATCAAATTCATTATGTTTTATATTTTGTTATGAATATTTTTATAAAGTTTCGATATGTTTTATTTTTTGCCTATATCCAACAAATATTTATGGCTATACTTGAGTGTTTCAATTTTTTTTCGAACTATCTCTTTTGCTTGAATGTTCAGCCCCCATTGAAAAAAAATCTGGATCCACCCCTGTAAACATAACTACTTGCCCATACCTGTAGTTAACATGTTGTGGGTGTTTGGCAAATGGATGTTAGCTGATAGTTGATTAAGTTAATGATAACCAATAGTTGATGGGATTGGCCAGTTATGTTTGGTAAATTAGATGTTTACTTTTAACTAATTACATGTAAAATGATTTATAAGGGCATTAATATTATTATTATTTACTTTATTATTACATAATAATAATAATAATAATAATAATACAAATAACAAAAACTAATAAATAAATAAAGACCATGTTTGGTATAGTTAGGTTATCAGCCAATTTTGACTTATTTGACCATTTTTAGTTGTTTGAATTGGTTAAACAATCAATATGAGTGTTTGATTTAATTTTTGTAACAACTTATTGCTCAAAAATGCTAAAATTCAAAAAGCTGACGAAAATAGTTTTTTCGATAAACTTTTTGAGAAAGTTATTTTGATTGTAATCAACCAGTTAACAGCTAATTTACCAAACACTTTTCTAAAATTAACTAATTCTATCAACTAGTCGAACACACTAACACAATAAGCTAACAACTATTTACCAAACACACCCAAAGACAAAGGGAAACTACGCTTTGGCTTCTTTGTAATGATCTCACATCAAAAATTTATAGAATGAGGGGCTTTTAGCTCCTTTAAGGGGTGTTTGCAAACCTGGAAAATGACTTCTGAAAATTGTTTTTCAAAAAATGAGTCATTTTTCAGAAAACATTTTAATTTCCAATGTTTGGTTGCATTTTAGAAAACTGGTTTAGTGTGTTTGGATCATTTTCCCGAAAATGAACAGAATTGTATTTTAAAAAATTGATATTATTTATAAAAAAAAATTTAAAAAAAAAAAACACAATGGTTTCATTAAAAAAAATGGTTTTCGAAGCCGGAAACCAGTTAATCTGATTTACGTCGAAAACTAGATTTCTGGTTCTCGACTAAAACCAATGAAGAAGATGGAGAACAGGACAAAATTGCTTTGGATTTTCCGGAAAATGACTTTCCTAAAAAAGGGAAGTCATTTTCTGAAAAAATGGGCTTGTTTTTCCTTTGACTAGAAATCAATTTCCGTTAGACCATCATTTTCCTCCCTTGCCAAACACTAGAACCCCAGAAAATTATTTCCAGAAAAATATTTTCTGAGTTTCCAAACACAACCTAAGAGTAGTTCAAAGCCCATCTTTAAGCTGATGATTTTGATCCCACATTAAAATCTTATCATTTGTAGGAGTGTTGAGTTCTTCCCCCCTCCCCCTTTTTTTTGGAAGTTGAGCCTTGGGCTCCTTTATAAAAGGTAGGAATAATGGTCAAATAGGCCATTCAATTACACACCAAATTATAATTAGGTCATTAAAGTTAAAAAATTACAATTGAGTCCCTGAACAACGCAAATTCATGCAATTTAAGATAAAAAGACTTGTTTACATGTTAATGTGCTGATGTGTCAGTTCCTTTATTTAAAAATAATTTTTTAAATTTTATTTAATAATTATAAATAAAATAATCATTTTAAATTTAATAAAAAAAAAAAAAAACAGCCCCATGGCTTGTCGAAGACGAAGGGGACCTTTCGTCTCCGGGCGCCATGGAGGTGAAGGGTCCCCTTGGTCTCCGGCAAGCCATTAGGGCTGTTTTGCATGAATTTGTGTTGTTCAGGGATCCAATTGTAGGGGTTTTTTTTTTAAAAAAAAAAAATCAGTAGTCTATTGTATTTTGGTATGTAGTTGAAGGACCTATTTGACCCTTATTCCTTAAAGGGAGGGGAATTTTGGTGAAAATTTTGTCTTTCTCCAAAATGCAATTATGAAATACAGCTCAAAGCAACATGCGTTTTGTTGCTCCAAAATTCTAAATTACCAAAGACTTTAAATGGCATTTTGACTTAGTAAAAACACCAAAAAATGATTGATCAGTCAAATGATTAGTCATTTACCAAACACTCTTGTTGGTTGTAGGGTTTTTGGTCCCATGGAGGTCCAACACAACCTTGGTTGGTGGATACACCTTTCAATAAAGCTATTAAAATAGAAAGGGATGGATAATTTCAGTAAACGTGTCTCTCTATTCTCTGGGCATGGACTCGCCTGTTTTACATCTTGGAAGGGCCTTTATATAGTAGGCCCTCCTTTAATTCGGGCTTAAATACATTTAAGAGGGTCTTAATAGCTAATTATGTCGGAGGGCCGTTGGGCTGCCGTTACTGGGCCTCCCAACGGCTCTTTGACCGGCTTCTTCAATGCTTCCTTAAATGTCCTCCAACGGTTCTTTGTCACTTTCGCCGAGTCCTTGTCTTGACCTTGGAGTCGGCTCGATTCCTGGACTCGGTCCGATCTTCTTTCGAGCTTTATTACTTTTTGGGCTTCCGCCCTTTTCCCCTTGGGCCACATCTTATTCTCTTTGGGCTTCACAATTCTTCTTGGGCCGGGGTCCACACCCCATCAACTAGTCCCTCACTTTCCAATATCCAGTCCCCTAACTTGGATATCGGAAAGTAACAGTATCTACTCCATTAATTCGTAAATCTCTCTCAATCTATTGCCCTTAACAGCCGAGTAACGCCCGGATCTCCCGCGATTTGCCTGATTCGCCAGGTCCATTTAGATTCTTCCCTTTTTTCCTTGAGATCCTATAAATAGCGCCATGATCCTTGAGTTTCTCCTCACCTCTTTTGATCAATCATGGGTCGCTCCCCCATAAAAGGGAAAAAGATTGACTTCGGGTCGTCGTCTCGCCCCTCTCACTCCAAGCGGTCGAGACTGGAGAAAGAGGGCAAGAAGAGGCTCCTCGTCCTTCTTCCCGAAGGCATCACTCTGGTACCACCTCCTCTATTTCTCGACCGTCGATTGAGGCTCCGCCCCTCGTGACAAACTCTCCATCCCTGGCCGACCCCCATCTCAGACTAAGGCTCGAGTCACTGCCCAAGACGGATCATTTGTTGAGGTGGCGGTTCCGGAGCAGCTTGCTTTTAAAATGACATTCACTATTCCTCTTGACGACCTGGATGGGCCGGCGACCGACCTGATGACCGATACCGACTTCACTCGTTATCTTGAACTGTATCCAGATGACGAGGCGCCCATCGTCCCACCTCTCATGCCGGCCTTTTGGGACTCGTTTTGTCCATCTCCTACTGGCCCATCGGAGGAGATGTTTTTCCGGGACGAGCCTTCTTCCCCTGACGAGTGATCATGCTATCCGGGGTCTGCAGGTGGCGGGGTGTGAAGTCGAGTGAAGCCTAAGGGAGAGCTGTGAGAGGAACATTATATATATAACTATCTACGTGTAATAAAGTTCCTTCCCCCTGATGTACTGCTCTCCCTATGAATAAAAGTGATGTGGTTTCGTTTTGCCGGCTATCTTTCTTTGCTTTATTCGATTAGGCTTGCTAGTCGGCCGGTCTCCGAGTCGACCAATATCCTATCCCAAGGTCTGACAACCGCATTCTTCCCGTATCCTTGGAAGATCTTGCATTTTTCAGTCAAAGCGCGAATCTTGCTCTTCCCAAGCGGATTTGATGGAACCTTTCCCTGACATAGATTCCTGAACCTTATCTAATCCTGCCTGAGGATGGCAGTTATGATTCCCTTCCGTGATTTACTCCTTGATATTCGCCCCCCTTTTGGGCTATAAAGGGGACTCCTTCTTGTTTATTTTCTTCATCATTTTCTCCGGTAACTCTCTGCGTCTCACTTCCTTTCGCCGCAGACTTCACAGAATTTGTGTTCATAATGCACATAATTCATGTTCATAATACACATACACATAAACACGATATAATGAACATGAATTCTGTGTATTATGAACATGAATTCTGTGCATTATGAACATGAATTTTGTGTATTATATAGCTGAGGACACATAAATACTTAACATAATACACATAATTCATATTCATAATGCACATAATTCATGTTTATAATGCACAGAATTCATGTTCATTATATCGTGTTTAAGTGTATGTATATTATGAACATGAATTCTATGCATTATGAACATGAATTCTGTACCTTATGAAGTCAAATTCTGTGTATTGAAACAAGGTCACCGTTGTTCTCTATCGGCCATCTCTGTTTGTTCTATCGCTACTACC